TTATAGACAAGATTCGTGAAATTAACAATACCCCGAGCATCTTAGAAAATGTCTTTAATTCTTTGAGGAACAGGTGTGAAAAGTGCTTGGAACAAGGAGGGGGACACTTTCAGCAGCTGCTTTAATTTATTGTTATAACAAGGAGGGTGCACTTTCCGCGGCTCCTTTAATTGTTTGTTATTGTTATCACGATTATTCTTTAAAATAAAGTTATATAGTCATTAACGTTATTGAAACTGACAGCTATACAGCTCGTTGAGAAATGAGGTTAAGTTGGTCGCTATAAGCTACTCCCTACGTCCAATGTGTCAGAGCCAACTTCGACCACGTTTTTATTTGAACTCTCGTTATATCGACGCGTTATTACTAAAACATGCTATCTCAAATTTAACTTGGAAAATATGCTATCTAAAATTCTACTTAGGAAAGATGCTATCTAAAACTGTGGAAAACATGCTACCTCATATTGAACTGGGCAAACATGCTACCTCAAATTAAGTTTGGAACATACTAGCTTAGATCTAGAAATTTAACTAGAAATTTAAGTTGCATTGGCTTTGAAATGCACATTGAATCATTGAAACCGTGCACTTACAATAAACTTATATATTTTTCAAGAAGTAAGGAATATTTATGTTCAATTTTTTTCCATACAAGTTTGCTTTGATATAAAAATTATTAGCGCACTCTTATCTGTATCTAATTTTTAATAATAAGAAACATTTTTATATATTAAGGTGTACACTATTTTCTTATAATTTATTATTTCAAAAAAACGTCGAGTAATGTACGTGTTTTTTTAATTAACAATTGTAAGTTAACAAAATTAATTGAAAAATGTTTAATGAAACAAATAAAATTAACAGTGTACCTAAATATTACATACATAAATATACATAAATATTCCTTACTTTTTGAAAAATATACTAGGTACACTAATGGAAACAATTAAAGGGTCAAAAGAATTTCCGAAATTTTTCCGTGATTTTTGACGAACTGTATTTAAGTGAAAAATGCTCGTATCGAGAATAAAGCATTTTGAAGCTCTAAGACTCTAGTTTTTAAATCTTTCGGTCGAAAATTTGTAGGAGCTACGGTTATCATGCAATTTTAAGAAATAGCGCCAAAAAAATTTTGCAAATTTTTGTATATTTTCCCGAGTTCACGGACTTGGAAACATTTTTTTCAGCTAAGCCATTGCATAGATCAGATAACTTGTTTATTCAGCTTTAATTTCCTTTTTTTTTAAATGTCGATACGACCATTATTAATCGAAATATCGGGCTTTTAATGGAAAAGGATCCTATATCAGCGACAAATGGTCGTATAGAGAACTGAAAAGCAGTTTCGAAAACTGTAATAAATTTGCTATAACATGCTGCCGCAACTTTTCGGAATTTCTTTTTCAACTTTTACATGAATTTAAAAAACTGGAAAAAAGGGTAATTTATGGTTTTTTAGAAAATTGACGGCTAAATTAGAAATATTCACAAAATGACTAATGTTAAGCATGACTTTTACAGTTCGATATACCCAGAAGAACCCTGTGAAATTTCATCTCGATCTAATCTAATAAATTACCCTCTCCTGTTTCTAAAAAGTCGTGTAAAAAATGAAAAAAAAAATCCGAAAAGTTGCGGCAGAATGTTATAGGAAATTTATTACAGTTTTCGAAACTGCGCCTCAATTCTTTGTACGACCATTTGTCGCCGAGATATCGATCGATGATTGAAGACAAAAGGATCCTCTTCCATTAAAAGTTCGATATTTCGATGAATAATGGTCGTATCGAAATTTTAAAAAAGGAAATGAAAGCTGAATAAACAAGCTATCTGGTCCATGCAATGGCTTGGCTGAAAAAATGTTTCCAAATCCGTGAACTCGGAAGAAGAACTTAAAAAATTTGTAAAATTTTTTTGTCAGGCTATTTCTTAGAATAACCGTAGCTCCTAAAAAATTTCTACCGAAAGATCTAAAAACTAGAATCTTAGAGCTTCAAAATGCTTTTTTTTAATTCCCGATACGACTATTTTTCACTTAAATACAGTCTGTCAAAAAGCACGGAAAAATTTCGGAAATTCTTTTGACCCTTTAATTGTTTGGATTAGGTATATAAGTTTATTTATATGTGCACGATTTCAGTCACTCATTGTGGATTTCAACGCCAATGCAGCCAACTTAAATTTCTAGTCAAATTTAATTTTGTGTGAGATAGCATGTTTTTCTTAAAGATCTGAGCTAGCATGTTTGCCAAGCTTAATCTGAGGTAGCATGTTTTCCACACAGAATTTTAGGTAGCAACTTTTCCAGATACAATTTTAGATAGCATGTTTTCGTAGTAATGCGTCGATATGTACTTATAGACCAAGCAAATTAAATTTTTACTCGAAAAAAGTCCTATCCGCTAGATTATTGTAAAATTGTCTAAAGGAACATAATACAAGACATCTCTCGTCTCGTGAGTCAAAAACTTTTATTAGCTAACTTTTCTATTTAAACAAATAAGTGAGGAAAACAGTTTTTTCACTTTGCAGGGAAAACCACCAATTTTAGCGAAAAGTGACTCACAGACAGCTTATAGGGAGTAAAATTATCTACAAAATGAGACTGGTTAAATTAAAATCGGTTAATAAACAAAAAAGTTATTGCAAAAAAACAAGAAAAGTGCCCATTTTTTCATTTGTTTATAACTATCGCATTTATTGTTAAAATTTTATAAAACCTATGACAAGTTGAGGGTTTTGTCATACTTTAAAAGTGTGCCAAAAGTGGGCGCTGTAGGTGCAATAGTTTTCGCACAATTCTATTTGTTTATAGCGGAGGCTCCAAAAGTTATGAACTTTA